CGGACCCCAGGGGATCGCCGGGGGAAACGCGGGCCGTGCCATGGGGCGTGCAGGAAGGTGGCGGAGCCGACCGCGCGTCAGCACGGACGTGGGGATGCGGGAGCCGTTCGACGGCTGTGCAGATTCTCACGCTGATGTCTGGATACAGTCACCAAACATCATAGGGACATCTTTCATCTTTCCTTTGGTTACGATTCCTGAATGTAGTCTACATGAAATAAGGAGGGTTAACTAACTCAACATGGTTAGTAAGTCTACTTCTTTGCAACACATATACTAGCATATCATCTCACTCGTTTCATGCCAGCCGACAGGCATTGCTGGTTAATCAATTGTCTCCGATTTCATCTCATACTGTCGTAAGCTTCCCCGGGCACCTGCCCAGATGCAGCTTAGAGCAAAGGGGTTTTACTACTCTGGTTCACATTGCTGACAGCTGCTTCACACACCATGTCCACTGCAGAGGACACCGGGCATGCAGTGGAGAGCAACCGCAAAGGTGCCTTCCACGGCCACCAGCAGCAGTATCCAAGGAGACAAAACTCCCAAGTCCTCGTCATTCAGCCATCACCGGGAAGGGCTTGGGGCTGCAGGACGATGCAGCCCGACGCGACGGACAGTGAGTGAGTTTTTCCAAATTCCCTTTTATCACAGAGCTCAGATTTCAAACAAAACAGCAGAAGCTTTGCCTGAGGAACCAGCCTACTGGACAGAGAAGAAGCACACTCTTAGAAAAACACGACTAAACTAAACAAAAGAACTAAAAAAAATAATAATAAAAAAGCCAACGTTTACATTTTTGAAGAAAAAAAAGTACCAAGTCTATTACTCACAAAGACTTATAATTAATGAATCACAGTCGATGTACAGAAGATGTAAAAAATAAATATATACAATTAAAATGAAGCTGTGGTACACTGCGTGGCTCTGGACAGCATGTGGTGATGCTGGCAGGTTCGGAATGGACAGACACAGACTTGTACAGAGCAGAAGAATTAACCAGAGATCCGCTATACCAAACTGCATTACATTTATCCTGTACAGCATGATAATTCAACATCTTATTGGAATCAAATGTATCAAAGCGCATTACTAGCAAGTCAGCTGCAGTTTTAAAACTAAAATTGATTTATTTAATACACAAAAAAAAACCCATTCAATCCTGCACACAAGTCTATCTGTCATTCATACAAAAAGAGTCATGTTCTGTTATGCTTCGAAACGTCACTACAGATTTTTCCAATTTCGTCTTATAACATTAATGGAATGGTCTTCTACATGCCTTTGGCACACAAGTTTAAAGTTGATTTCAAACGGCTTGTAACGTCATCCTGAAGCACACGCAGTACACCGATAACGTCAAGTACTCGCGGCAAATATGACGGCAGATCTGTGACGACTGTGTGTCGGGGTAAGCGGCTAAAAGGGGACAATCACATTTAACATACAGTCATACAGCCGTGTGACATGGGCCATTTGAAACGGATTAAAGTCAGTGCCCTCGGTATGCTGTTGTGATTTTGGGAACACCCAAATGGACAAGAATGCCAAACTGCTCGGGAATTCCCCTCTCCACTGGGCACAGAAACGCCATGTCAGTATGTGTATTATATGCTCCCCATATAGTTCGGCACATATAAAAAGAAGCAACTAAGTAAAAACGAATATATTTATATGTATAATGTAGTACATCACAATGCTGTGGTCTCTATGGTTACGCGGGTGGATAATGTAGAAATGCAACCGAGTAGCTAATATGTCTCGCAATTTCCCCCCTCATTTCAGGTCACGGTACTTCCTGTCACATCATGCTACTTCCTGTGCCCCATGTGCTGAGAGACAGAGGAAACCTTTATATTCAGGAAAGCATATCATTATTAATAATAATATTTATAACAACAATAAAATTCAGTGTCTCTGCGTAAAATAGGAGAGTATGCGCTTTCATTTTCAGTATTCATTACTCTATGTGTCTGGGGAGGGGAATGACAGGACGATGCCATGAGCTGAATTAATAACACAAATAATGGAAATACAGACAGAATACAGAACAGAGAGATAATAATCACAATAATCAAAACATGACATGAAAACAGTAAAAGTATTTGGGGGAAAAACAACCCATTAAAAGAACATATACAGATTAAAATGAATATTCCCACAATACCATGAAGTTAAATGCTAATTTGTTAGCCAAGCACTAAATAAATACTGATGAGCTACACGTCAGGCAGTTAGAAATTGGCATTTCTCATGTGTCTCAAGTAGTTTGTTACAGTGAAAACAAAAGAAACTGTATTAAACAAAAGCAGGACAGCTGAAGCGCTGAATGTTTCACCCCTCTTTCTGGAAGTTTCTCTCGGTATGCTAGCAAAAGCCAGCCGCTGACAACCTGACAAGTAAGTGTGATACAGTAAGGCCTCGCAGTGAGGCTCTGAGGGAAAATCACTGCGCGGGTCACCTGCCGATTCCCCCTGAACCTGCAGAGCGGCGACGTAATGAGTGGTCAGGGTGCGGGGATTACCGTGCAGCCTGGGAGAGGCACGGGGAGCTTTCTGCATGCGTCTGCTCCTACACTGGCCCGCAGTGTCGAGAGGTGCATGGGGGCCACAGAGGATCAGCTGATTGGGGGGGCGTGTAACTGTACAGTGGCAGCCCTAAAGCATTATTCATGTAGCAAACAGCACAAGACATCCGAACACCGGAGACTGTCCTCTAATAACCTTTTCTCTTTCAAGTATTATTAACATATATAGGTTTATATATATCTAGGCATCTATATATGATAAACCTATAAATCAAACTACCGCTTGTGAATCTTCCCTGTTTACTTCCTGTTGATGAGTGGCAGATTTCGTCATGTTTATTCTCGACTGGCCATTAAAGCCCAGCCACTGCTGATCATGTGACTAGTGGTCACTGCTGATCATGTGACAGGCAGAGGGGGATTGTGGGTAGAGCTGAGTCTTACGGCGATTCCTAGGACACAAGAGAAGCGTGTCGTTCTCCGGTTTCGGCACACAGAGGAATCCCTAGATGCGCAATGGTCGTCCGGCTGGAGCTGGTTTTGGCTTTACATGGCAGCTGCAGGGGTGTTTTATTAAGGAAAACGCTGGGGGGGGGGGGCAGGAGAGGTGGCCTGGGTGGAGGTGGGGAGACAAGGGGGCCCGTTCATGGTCCTAGATCCGCTTCCCTTGTCACACCAGCAGAGCGGTGCCTTTCCGACGGGGGGGGGGCACTGACCAGAGAGGAGTGAGCCAGTGGGTTAACATGACTCAGGCTGCATGGCCCTCTGTCCTCTGGCTATGTCCCGAGTGCCCGTGGGGCTCTGCAGCCTTTTCCCGGAACTAGGGAGGGACGTGTGATTATAGCAGAGTTATTGCATTGCTATACCCAGGAAACATCAGTGTGAATCGGCCACACTCTTCCCTTCTGCCGGCTGACTGATATGTTTCAGGGCGACGCGTTAAGCGGGGGAGGGGGGCACAGAGGCAGCATGTAATGAGAGGGAGAGTTTAAAAGCAGCTGTTGGAAAGCTTTCAGAGGTAAGAGGTAATGTACTCTTACCACATGCTAAAGCAGCCGCAACAAAGTGGATGTGGATCCCTCCCCCTACCCTGCTGCAGTCTCTTAATGCAACTCTGGAGGCTCTGGGGGGGGGTTGCAGTACCAGCCAGCAGCCCCTCCCCGTCCCCTCGCTGTCTAAATGCGCCATGATGGGACAGTGGTGCAGCAGGTAACGTGGTGAGTCGACTTCCTGAAATCGTGCAAAAAGTGCCCCACCCTTCCAGAAATCGTGGATCCCCTACCAACGTGCCTCGGTGAAGTACCCACGATGCAATGCAGGGCAGAGTTGACAGCGCCCCGCTGCTGCATCTCCCCAGTGAGGATCCAGTTAACCCCCCTGTCGCTAAGCCCTCAGAGGCTGCAGTGCGCTCTTCTCAGGCTTGGCAGTTGGCGTCCTGTTTCCGTTGTGACCCAGGGGTGTAGCTGGGTGTGGGCTCTTCTGATTGGTCAGCTCCCGGTGATGCCGGCCCTTATCTAGGGCCTCTGGATCAGGGTTACCCCACTGTCTCTCCCAGATAGCCGTCGCTAACTAGACGCTGGTGCCCTGCCAGGAATCTGCGAAAATCCTCCAGCTTGTCAGGGGCCTGGAGTCCTTTGGGCCCAAGAGTGGCCTGCCCCCCAAGCGGGGTGTCCCTCTAACGGCAGCTTGAGAGTGACGGGAAAAGCCAAACAGCACCATTGGCTAGCGATCAGATCCCCCAAGTCCAGCAAGATGGACACATTCCTACAGCTGATAGGAGCCAGTCTTTTGGGACAGGAAGAGGAAACAGCCACTTCTCAGTGGTTTACGATGTCCTGTAACGCAGATGTGACCCTCGGGTTGGCTTGGGGGGGTGTGGCATGTGCTCTGCGGCGGGGGGGGGGTTGGGCGTTAACTGTTGCAAGTCCCTTTCTTCCACAAACAGACACTGACACCTTGTATTGCTGGATGTGTAGGTCTTAATTTGTAAACAGCTGCTTTGAAACTTCAATTATCTAAATTTAAAATCCCATTGATCGTTATTCTGGCTGGGCAGGTTCAGGTTTTAGTGCAGGACAAATAACCTGGGGTGCGAGACCCGCGCCTCATGTCCGAGATGTTTCCCTTTAAGAGAACAGAAATGGAGTCACTGAGGTTGTTGTGTTTTAATGGAGATCCGGTTTTATTCCCACACACTGAGAAACGGAGAAACAAGAATGAAGTCTCAAGGGCGAATAGGAACAAAAGCAAAACTTAAACCTTGGGCTGAGTGACATTAATCCAGTGCTAGTTTCCCCCAGTGTGAAAACTAACAGATGAAGAAAGAAANAAAAAAAAAAAAAAAGAAGCAAATTTATATGGGTGAAAATCAATCCCATAAAATGGATAGTATGGGTTAGCATCATATTTCTGAATGTGATTTAGGCTCGGCCCTCCATCTGTGTACCATGACAGCGTGTTGCAGCATAAAAAAAAAAAAAAAAAAAAAAAAAAAAAAAAAAAGAGTGCAAATCCTGTTGAGTGTAAGGCTGCTTTCTGTGTGTTTGTCTTCATTGCATTCACTCTTTCAAGCTAGCAAGGCCGTCCCTGAGCGGGGAACAAAATTCAACCCAGTTGAATTTCGGAGTAAAGTGATGTTTGTATTGTGCAGTCAAGTAAGTAGTAATAAAACAACTGTCCTGAATCCTGAGGTGTAGATGTGATTCCCCCCCTCCCCAATTTAAATAAAGGTGAAGAATACTTTATATACCGCTCGATTCATCTGTCTGTTTTTTTTCCTTGTTGCTAATTTTTGTTGTTATTTTTAAACCTGAAATGAGTTGTTTAAAATTAAAGAAAAACTTAAATAAGAACACTATCGATACCCCGGCGAGTGCCATAAGCTAAAAACAGTACATAAATATTGAATACTAAGCAAAGATGGCCTTCTGGGGAAGGCGTGTTTTCGATTTTTTTTTATTTATTTTTTTTTGGTTTTTTCTGTTTCTTTTGAGTTGCACAAAAGATTGCACTACAACAGGGCCGTTATTTACAGTGCAGCAAGCGAACAGGGGATTAGCGCTTAGGAGGCAGCGGACGAGTGTGCAACACGCGAGTGACGGGGCCCACGGCCATCCGTCTGGCCAGGAAGGAAAGTGCGGGTGGGGCTTAAGGTGGGTGGGCGGGGTCTGGATGAGGGGGTGTGGCTTAAGGTGAGCTGGCGGGGCTCAGGGTGGGGCTGGAGGCGTCCGAGCGGCTGTAGTCGCTGAGCGAACCGGTGCGTGCGGCCACGCCCAAGGCTGGCCCATAGGGCCGCTTCAGCATGCCGGGCTCGAAGCCGGAGTGGCGCCGGGCGTGCTTCATCAGGTGGTCGCTCCGCATGAAGCGCTTGTCACACAGCGGGCAGCCGAACTTCTTCTCGCCGGTGTGCGTGCGGTAGTGCCGCGCCAGCTCGTCGGAGCGGGCAAACTTCTTACTGCAGTCCGGCCAGGTGCAGGGGAAGGGCCGCTCTCCTGCAGGACGGCAAAACAGACACCGGCGTTTACCACCATTCATACCATGCGGGCCCCCTGCTGGCCACAGGCATTCACTACACTAAATATTAAATAAACGGCATTTTCTTTTAACCAGCTAGCTAGATACTGACTTTACTCACTAGCTAATTATTTTCTAAAACATTTGGGGGCTATGCCAGCCTCTCAAAGGCTGCGTTAAATAGGTACTTGGCGAGCGCCTTCATACCTGGGTCTCCAGCATCAGACAGCCCCGAAATGCGACCACAGAGTCACACAGACTAATATCAGCCAGCTGGACCAGCAGCACTGGCCAAGCCTCCCACAAAATGGATGAACAATGAAGGTCTTTTGTTTGGGCACCATAACACATGAAACGCTAACAGTACCTTATTCACCCAGAGGAGTCACAAAAATCACCCCCCTGCAAACTGCTAATGCTATAAGCCAGCTGAATGTGCTCGGTGCAGCCACCCTCGCCGGCGGTTACCGTAGCCACTGACCAGCAGGTGTGCCAAGCGTGGCTGCAGCCTGCTGGTGGAACCAGACGCTTAATCACAATGTAAACTGCTATTTATCGCACTAGGAGCGAAAGGGGAAGTCAGCGCTTGTTTTAGGGTCCATAAAAACACCACAGCCATCGATTTAAAGGGTGTTCCTTTATAACTGTTTGCTACGCAAAACGCGTTTTCACCGAGGGCTGGTAGCGTGACTCTGCGGGAAATACCGGCTTCTCAGCAGAAAAAGGCGAAATTAGCCTCTCGTAGTACAGGCCCACGCCAGCGGGGGGGTGGGGGAAGTGCTAGGGGACGCCCCCCAAACTGCACGACCATCTGAATAGCTACTGGGGTTCCTGGCACCTTTAAATGCTGACGGGGGCTTCAGAGAAGTGCTGCGCTACGTCTTTCAGTCATGGCCTTATCCTCAGGAGCCAGACAGGCAGGCTCATTAGTCGGCTGCCAGATAATGACCTTAAAATCAGCAGCCAGTCCCGTATTGACATGACTGTACACGACACGCGAAAGCCTCTCACCGTGGTGGGACGCGATTCTCCAGAAAGCAGACGGGGGGGGGGGGGACACAGCGTTTCCCGGGGGGCTGTCACTCTGCCTCGTGAGAAAGGGGCAGACACCGGCTAATCGAGCATTTTGTGAGCCGTGCCTGACTTCAAAATGGCGGTTCTTTCGTGGTTCACTCAGTTACATCACGGTTTAAAATAACACAATAAAGCCACGTCACTGGTGAATTTATTTAGAAGGAAGGGGCCGAATCCAGATGTGAGGCTCTCCGTAGTCCGGCAGCACATTTCAGTAAAAACAGCACATCTACTTTACGAGACTTTTTTTACTTATTATAAGATGGAAGGAGACAGACTCAGTGTTTTAGGGTCAGTCTGAAAACAAGCGTCACTCACAGACCATCCACAGCTATGCTTGTTATATAAGTACAATACACAAGTCAATCAAGCAGCATGGTGCAAATTCAACACAAACTAGGGTAGGAAACCAGAGAGCAGAGGACCCCCCCCCTCCCCCTCCAAACCACCACTAAGCCATAGAGTGACAGAGCTCAAATGGCAGAGAGCACCCTCATCTCCAGATGGGCAGAGTGTTAGACGCCCGGCACACAGGAAATTCAGGAGCATGCATGCGTGCGCGCACACACACACACACACACACGCACGCGCACACACACACACACACGCGCGCACACACACCAGGGGGGGCGGGGGCTATGGTACATTTACCTGTCACAAAACAAACAAACAAGGTCATTTTTACACAGAAACATTACTTTGCTTTGATTGTACCTTTCCCAATTCAGACAGATGCCCCCCCCCCAAATCAGGCAGTGTCCCTTGATTCTGACAGACCCCACCCTGATTCAGACAAAGCCCCCCCTAATTCCTAATTCATCCCTCCCCGATTCAAACAGATCCCTCCTCTAATTCAGACAGAGCAAGCTCCCCCCCCCCCAGTTCAGACAGCGCGCCCCCACCATAAGAGTCATGGGTCCTGGCTAAAGGACAGCCTTCAACTCGCCGCACGGTGACAGGCAGAAGGTAACAGACTCCATGGCATGAATATTTCACAGAAAGGGGGAGGTGAACAAGGGGACCGTGCGCAGGGGGGGGGGCAGTGAAGCCAGTGCATATCAGTTACCTGCAGCCAGCCATGACACCCGCCTGTAAAAAGTCTGTATCGCAGCCGCACCTGACGATGCAGACTCATGGATGAAGCTTCCGGGTCAGACACCTGGGGGGCGGCGTCAGTGAAGTGGAAAAGCTTTTAGCGGGTGTGCAGACGACGCCCAGCCAGGCCACACAAAGACCACGGGGCCCCAGGGGGTCTAAATCTGCCCATCCTCTGCATTTCTGCATGCCGGTCTATGCACTGTAGCATGCACCCTGCTGTGTCTTGCGCTCACGCTGCAGTAAGAAATGCACGTGTGACGCTCCATGTTAGCTATAAGCTAAGTGCTTTTCACAATGCAGTGAGAAATGCACGCTTGACACTCCATGCCCCGCCTTCCCGGCCTGGGACACTCTTCCGTAAGGACACTCACGGTGGCCCGGATTGGCTGGCCGGACACTCACGGTGGCCCGGATTGGCTGGCCGGACACTCACGGTGGCCCGGATTGGCTGGCCGGACACTCACGGTGGCCCGGATTGGCTGGCCCGCCTCCTGACGTCAGGCACTATTTTCCTGATCCTGAATTGTACAACGAGAGACCCGCAGAAGCCCAGAAAAAAATGCCCCCCTTTGTTCCTGAAACAGAGCAATGGGGGGCCCACAGCCCTGAACAGCCGCCCATCACCCCCCTGCCAGCAGCCCCCGGGGCAGCCCGGACGCCCACGATGACGTCAGGGCCTGCCGATGGGCGGGGGGGGGGGGGGGGGGGGGGGCACCGTTAGGAGCCGTGCCGGAGGCGGGCCACACAGTCTGCCATTCTTGGAATGGGAGGGGTAATTAGGGAGGCTCTGGATCAGTGCTCTGCTCTAACGAGCACAGTGACCTAGTTACCCTGAGAGAGACTCGCTTCCGGAACGTTCACGCTGCCTCTCCTACTAACCAAACAGCAGCAGCACCATTATGTCACAGGTAGTCAGGTTACATAAGCGCTCCCCGTCTGGGGCTTTCACAGACGTCCTCCCGTGAGCGCGCCGGGATTCACGTTAAAGTGGAATCCACACCTAACCTGGCAAGCAAGGGCTGAAATAACAGCCGGAAACAGGAGATAAAATGCCGATACTCTGGTGCACCCTTAAATACTCGGGTAGCCTTAGGTGGGCCCCGGACACCCCCCCGAGCGGACGGCTCCTCAGTCCCACATGGGTGTCATGGATGTAGCCATCCACGTACCAGTTAGACTTGGCTCAACCTCACAGTGTGTCATGTGACCTGGATCAGAGGTCAAGCAGGGGTCACACACAGGGATTAAAATGTCAGCACAGGAGGAGTGGAGGGGGTCAGCCAATGAATTTTAAAGTTCAGAGTCATAATTTATTGTCAAGCCTAAAAGGCCTTTCCTCGGCTTAACTGGATATTTAGCTATAAATATGTAGCCGATAACAGAAAACTTGCTTGTTTAAATTGGACATTGAAAAAAGTTTGAATGCAACACAAAATAAGGAGGGGAGAGTGTTTGGTGTCTCTTACAACAGCCAAAAAGTGCCAAAATCCACAAGGCAGGCATAGGGTTCATCAAGGAGTGCCTATGTGGATTATTAGAACAACATCAGAAAATATTACGTTTTTCTTTTTTTATGGGAAACTTAAATCATGACCGGCCTCGTTTTTATGGCGAAGATGGACCTCATAGACGAGCAGAGGGTCACATACAGGTCAAATGCTTCCAAACCAAGTAACGGCTCACTCTCCCAGCCTCGATGTATCAGATGTACGACAAATGAAATGCAAGAATACGCTGGTGAACTTCCTGCAACACATAAAATTAAAGGCCCTTAGTCATCTGAGAGAAGTATGTACTCCAGAAACCTCCTTAAAGATTTACTCCTCATAAAGCCATCGGTCCACGTCCGTGTGACTTTTCGTACGTATGGAACGGACTTCAAGGGAGGGTTAATGAGCCGGGACAACCTTCGGGAAATGGGACTCCTCTCATCGGGGGGGGGGGGGGGGACTTTGGGCTCAGGAAAGTGTGCCAGAGGCTGGTTAAAGATACACAGGCAAACCAGCAGGTGGTACAGCAGTTAAAGGGCTGAAAGGCAGCAGCTAGTCTGGCAGAACGCGGGAGGAAGGCGGCAGATGCCGGGATGTGGCAGGAGACACGCCGACTGCGTTGCCTAGGTGATACTACGACCAATGCCGGCCCTCTACACACCATAGTGAAACTTCTCTCTACTCCTGACTTACAAACAGCAAGCGAGAAGAGCTGTATGTGGATACGCCAGAGGTAGAAGATGCTGAACATGGCTCTCTCTGACCATCACCTTTGTACCAATTTAATCATTTTGACTTATAATTCCACAGGGACGCCTCAGGAGACTAAGGCTGTTAATCATGCTTGGCTGGGGGGGGGGGGGGGGGGCTGTTCACTTTTGTCTTTAAGAGTCTGCCAATGCGTGGGAATCCTGTAAGGCGAATGAAAGAGTCAACATGTGGTCTTCATTATTTTCTTCAGCTCCACTATAAACACAAGCTACTGTATGTAAATAACCACAAAATACAAACACACCCCATCCTTTTCTTCAAAGACGCCAGAAAGGAGTCCAAAAAAAGAGTCTGCTGCCTCATGCATGACCCACACACATGTACACGATGCCTAGCGAACAAGCGGCCGCCCAGATGGTCAGCTTCTGTGGCCTTACACACATTCTACCCGCTGCTATCAAAACAGAAAGGCACACTGCACAGCTAGGTCTGAAAATGCTCTATCAAAAAGGCTAAATCAATAAAAGACACACGAAACCTAATAAAATTAACAAATGGTTATGATTTTTAAAAATGGGCAGCGTTCAAATATCAGCTGTAAAAATTAATTAAATTCCTATTAAAACGGCACAAAATTAAGATTCCACACGAGGCCGCAGATGCTGCTCATTAGATGCACCTGTATTTGCTCCCTGGGACTGGCAGCCTTTCGGTATCCACGGCGATAACTGCCCGTTCATCTGCTACTCAAGGCCCAGTCATCAAATGCCCCTACACTTACATCATCGAGTATAACAGACAAACCCACGGCATCCAGGACATGCTGCGAGACATGGGCCGCATTCAGTTGTCTGGAAAAGCTGGACGGGTTCCACCTCGGCATGTGCCCGCCCCTCCCCCCGCCGCACCAGGAAGCCTCGCCATTCGCTGGATGTTCATCCTGCTCTTCCTGCTCCCCACACCACACTGCGTGCCTCGCTGACACGATGCCCAGACAGGCTGATTAATGAGCCTCTCGCAGTGTAAAAGCCAGACCTGTATAATGGAGAGGTTAAACTCTCCATTCTTTACATGCTGTAGAACAGTGTTTCCCAATCCGGTCCTTGAGGACTGCAGACAGTCCATGTTTTTGCTTCCACCCAGCTCCCTGGAAGTGGGAGAGAGCGAAAACATGGACTGTCTGTGGGTTTCCAATGACTGGGTTGGGAAACACTTCTGCAGAAGACTCTGAGTCCATGTATGTTTTTATATTTTACTGACAACAGACTAGATCGCCACAGGATCTCTAGAGCCCAAAGCCTGTTCCTCCAGATACCACCAAAGTGGGGTCTGGACCACAGTGCCGGAAACCTCGCTGCTCCCTGTGCGTCGGTGCTGCTGCGCTAAGCTTCTTCTTATGACATGCGGGCCTCTTAAAAGGAGGAGGGAGTGCTTCATCTGAGAACCTGCTTAGTCGCGGATGGAAGAAGATGACAGAACCGGGTCGAGGATGAAAGACGAAAGCTTGAGGTATCGGATGAAACACGCCAGGCTGTGGCTCAGAGCAGACCATCGGCCAGGATCTAACTGGGTAGCAATCTGCTCGTGGTGTTTATGTGGATTAGGAGAAAAGGCCAGCTTGGCATCATTTACATCCCAGGGGGAAACATGAATGTAGAGTCCCCTTCAAATGTAGCTGCTCTTCAGTCTCAGCCTGGAGCTCTTGCAGCCCCTACATCCCAAGCATGATCTATATGTTACACCACTAAACTATTACAAACAAAATACCCTACACACCATTTTAGAAATTTTGAATTCTTTCTTGCTAGCAATTGTGATAATCATAAAATGGATCTTGTAAACAATTTTGGGCTGGCATGTGAAAAACGCATTCCTCTGACGCTTGGTGTTCATTGTTGTTCCAGAAAACCTTCCTGGATTCGACGTGTTACATGCAGAGAAGAAAAACAACCCGCACGTCCAGTCCCCCAGCCCTGACTGTCATTAAAAGGGAACACCTTCACTTCCTGAAGATCAGATAAGCAAAGAACATAATGTACTCAGGCTACAGAAACTGAAAGCCCATTTGAAAGCAAATTCAGAATGAAAACAACATGAAGGGCCCCTTAGCAGAGTGGCAGTGTGATCTGAAAACCCTTGTTTGAATACTGATATTGTGCAAAATTTAAGAGAAAAGGGCCAATGACATCGAGAAAGCATGCAAAGCATAGGAGGCGTTTCAGCATAAGCAGAAGACTTTGAAGATTAATGAATATCAAGAACGTGGCTTATTTTTAAGTGGCACCCCAAACTGTGCTTCATGCAAACTTGAGAATAAAACTGTCACGTTTCAGTGAGACACAGAGGCATGGCAGCCAGCATAGTTCAGATTTACATCCTCAAGAACCAAGATCAATAGTGCTATCTGCTGATATATAATGTAGGAAATTAACACAGGAGCAGAACAAACAGCAATGTAAATATACCTATCAGCATGAGTGGTACCACAACACAAGCCATCCTCGAGAAACAAGACAATTAGCAATAAGGAGAAAGAATCAGTCCCCCTGTAGTCTTATCAGAATTCATAACGTCTGAAGCCAGTGTTCAGAAAGGAGCCACTCCCAGTTTGATTACACTGCACTGTTTGTAGAGAATGTTGGCAAAATGTACACAGGAAAACTACTTTTGTCCAGTTTTTGATTACCTAAGATTTTATCAGTTATTTCATTTAATGACACATTACTGAAATGTTTATATTTAATAGCGGTACTGTACATTGTTTACACAAGAAAATATCTTATTTATTCTGAATACAGTAATATTTTCAATTCGTATACAATGAAAACTTAGAATCTGCATTTCTCCCGGGGGCTGGGACCGCCACGTTTTTCTTTAGGTCTCCACCCCCACGTGACTCACAGCTCCTTGAATTGATAGGGTTAAGCGAAGAGGAAGTGGAGGCCTCGCATTCTCCCCACAGGCCTCGTTTTATCATTCTGCTATGACCGCAGAAAAATTACACCATGCGACTCTGCCAAAAGCATACCCTTAATTACCATATTGCGGAGTGTGCAGCATGGGAAAGTGATTATAGGTACGGTGATTATAGTAAAAACAGGTGATTCTGCACGTAATAGGTGATTACAGAATGTGCTATTCAATTTTGTCCCCAGGCTTGAAGGACTCATTCAAAAACACAATCGTGCTGTGCGTCTGCGATGCCACATATAAAGGGGCAAATATGACCCAAACAGACACGATAAAACTCAAGCTGAAGCAAAAATGTTCCTCGGTATCGGCTGTTATGAGTCAAGGACGCCACTTGGCTTTAAACTTTGCTTTTGGAACAGCACGTTCCCGTTTCAGTATCAGCCTGTACAGAAGGGGGATCCGTGCCTCGTCGCTCCGTTGGTACAGTCTGGCAGCAAAGGGCCCGATGAGCCCAGGAAAAGCAGTCAAACGCAGAGCGGAGCTGTAGCCTCCACTTGACTGACACACGTTCTCTGATTACCCCAACAAGTGAGACGGGAAACTCATTATTTAATAGTAACGCTGCCAGCCCAAAAGGTCGCGTCTGACCTGCAAAACACCCCGAGGTACAGGGTGCTGTCGCTCGTTAGATACCTGAAAAGCACTTTGTCACTGAAAGCTTACAGCACTCATGCTGTTTTCGTCATATGTGTGTGTGTGTGTGTGTGTGTGTATGTGTATATATATATATATATATATATATATATAGCATCGGTTTAAAAGCTATAGATCAACGCATTAAAATTGAAGAACAAAATAATATAGCAGCTTATTATAATATTTGACGTTAATATGTCCCGATGGACCGTTGTGCATTGAGATTTGGAACTGATTTTAATTAGTTTCACTTGTATCGGCAATTGCTGCATTACACAGGAGGACCTTTAATAAAATCAAAATCCAACCATGGCTTTAACAGCAAGACACGACAGCTTTGGGGTGTCTTTCAGTTTGTGTGTCAACGTGCTTTAGCTTAGGGGCTCACTGGACTACTGGTGTAACCGTTAAAAAATACACAATCGCATTCGAAAATACAATCTATACCTTACAAACACCAGAAAAACATCGTAGTAACACCCCACCTGACGTGCCATTTAAGTAACACCTTTGATCAAACGCACTGCTACTTTCATGCTCGTTAGACTCAAAGAACTGCGCGTCCTGGCAGCTGAAAGCCATGTCCGCATTATTAGTAACATTGCTATTGTTACCAGACGCCTCAATGTATCGTTAAGACTCTTAAAAATCAGACTACACGATAGCAATCGTAATTTAAAACCAGACCAGAACCTGAAAAACGTGATCAATATAAAAAGCTAATAATTTGGACGGACTAGCTCGCTCTCTGACACGCAACTCCCGCAGCTAAAGAGACCGTAAATCCCTCTATGTGCGACACTAACATACAAACGCACCCTCGTATGCATGTGTTACAGCTCCGGATATACATGCAAATAATACAGAGATAAGCAGAGAGGCTCCGTTTATTCGTATACACCTAAAACAAGAATCCGTGGGCCGGCCGGGATCCGGAATCTCACACCCCCCTGTCGGCTCGGAGTTCGGCGCTCAGCTAGCTGGGTCTGTTGCTGGCCAGATCAGCTGGCAGGCCCTCCGAGGGGGTGTGGTGCATCACAACAAAGAGCTCGGGAGTCAGACGGGCACCGCGCAGCCCACACCAACCCCCACTTTTCTGCCTTTTCCCCTTCCTGCTCCATAATCCAGGGACAGATATATCCATTTTAAAGCTGTGCACCGTGATCGCGGGCGTTTGCCTGCGGATCCGCTCGCATATCGGGGGAGGGGGCTCGCCGCGTATCCCCGAAGTTTCCCTTAAGTTCACACATTCCGTCGTAGTCGCTCCATACTTCCATGCGCAGGAGGATGCATACTTTATCACTAGTTACATCATGCATCTGCAGGCACTAACGGCCTGCTCGGGCTCATTTTTAAAAAGTACTGCAGAAATGTAGGCAGCAAAAAAGGGAGTCTGCAGTTACCCCCTCTCCACTACATGTCAGCCGGAGCCTGGGTCATGTCCTGAAAAACCCGAAGGTGACTGGTGAGGTAAACGGGGACTGAATGCTGCGGCTCTTCTTTTTCGCAGGCGTTACGGTATCTGATGTGCATAACAGCAGGCAGACTTATACGCGTAATATGCCGAAACATATAATTAACCTGTACGCCGATCTTAAAGCAACACTTTTACCAAAATCACACCGAAATCCAGAAATCAATCCAGGAATTCAAGGTGCGCTCGATAACGAGCTGTAGTTAAATATTCTGCCAACCATCAATTATTTACTTAACATGCAACTGACCTGTATGTGTCCTTAGGTGGGCTTTAAGGTGAGACGATTTGCCATAAACTTTTTCACACCCTGAATAGTGGCATTTGTGCTTCTTTTGGGGAGATTCGTGCTCGCTTCCTCTCATGCGCCTTACTCTTTGTTTGGGACCGGTGCTACCGTTGATGGTGGTAGGTGTGGCAGCGTTTCCATCGTCGCTTGAAAGCGGTGACTGTTTGTTCTCGTCTTTTATTTTTGTCTGGTCGAATGGACTGGCTGAGGTCTGCTGGTTGAAATCTGCTAAAATTCTGGCCACCACAAAGTTGTCTTTCGCCACCGTATCTTTACTCTCTTCTCCGATCCTTGGGGGAGATAGCGTTTCTTGTTTTATCTCCCTGTTCCCTCTAGGACCATGGACAATAGCCCGACTGGACATTGACACAAGGCACTCTGCTGCAAAATGATCCATTTCGTATAACAGATACAATCCCTGTTTATGTGTGACATTCAAAAGTAACTGCGTGTTAAAATCATCCGTTCCCCTTTGATCCTTTTCTGTGATGCTGATATGGAGGTAGTAGCTAGGTCACTCATTACAAAACTCACTTTATGACCTTACCGGCTTCTCATCAAAATGAACATCCTGTTCGCAAACCGGTCGAAATCGAAACGTCAGTGCGTCAGACGAGGTCTCTCCCAATGTTTTATAATTTTCTCGCCTATACGATTGCCAAAAAGTTAAGTAGATTTTAAATGAAAACTCCCATTATTGCATCTCACCTCCCTCTTTCCTGCACTGTGACAATATAATGCTTTCGAATTAGTGCAGTTTCTATCCACGTTGGGGGCGGGGCTGCCCGGAACATATGGCGACGGCGTCATCGTCTTCGCGCTTTCATTGGTCAGCGTCTGACCCCTAAAAGGCTCTGTCCCCGCCCCCCCTGAGAACTTCAGGCACTTTTAAACGGGCCGGGTCACGTGATAAGGCGCGAGTGTGGGCGCGCTTGCACGGGAGGTGAGGGTGCACTTTTCGCGTTTACGCTTGTGTGAGGTTATGTGAAAAGACATAACGATATGATACGATGCGAACATTGAATATAACGAGACTGATGTAGATTGAGATTGAGATTCAGGACCCACCCAAATCACACCAGGCAAAAATTATACTATACTGATATCTTTTTTTCCATCGGAATGACCTGGTCGTACTGGTGTTAGACCTTCAGTTTTACGTATCAAAATTTGCATATGTCAATTGATAGAACTCTCTATTTCGCAGAAATGTGAATTCCTTAAAAGGTGAAAACTGATTGAACTATCAGTACTGACACACAATGTAATGATGGCACAGAATTTACCTCCATGTAATAATCCACTTTACTGTATGTATAAAGCTGAGCACTGTAAGCCATCTGGTGTGTTTGCTTTACACATAACACGTTCTCATTGTATCTAATGTGCCTTCTGTTTGTATCCTATGACAGTATATGACTCATCTTTAAAACAATGCTGTAAGTAAAAGTCATAACACAATTGCCATAATGCCCTTGTCAAAAGAGCCGTCAGCTAATTTTACTTGCTGAATAAATAATACCTTTATTTTTTTACTAAAACAATGGACAAGCATCACACAATTTACTGTATGGCACAAAGGCAGATACCCCACTCCACAGCGACAGAAGGGCTTCAGGAAAATCCCGGGAATGACTGGAAACTCATGCTGAATTCATTATAAATGTATAGGAATATTTTAATATTGAAATAGTTCCCATTGGAAATGATAAAGATTGATTGCTGTCCCCCAAATTGTTCAAATGTAGCATTAGAAATACAGTTTTATTTAAAAGCATAGGCTCACATTTTTGACTGCTAATATAAAGTACAAGCCATTACCATTAAGCTTTAATAAAGATGTGTACCTTTCAAGGGTAATGAGCTTTTCTCTTTTATGATACTTGGTACTTATTGTTTTATTACATTATTTTAATTTCATTTCCCATATCATACAGTCTGCGATTGTGTAGTTGTTATGATATACCATTATCACCACAATAACATTTGTTTCTCTTTTCTAATATTAAAATCATGACAAACAGTCTGGCGGTGAAGTTAATTTGGCAGGTTTTAGAGACCCGAGTGTTACCTTTCACAGGCTGATGTACGATCACCGCTGACTCCCCATTTTCATTCCGCATGTGGGCCCTGCATTTTAGCTGCAGAATTACCAAGACTGCTGCTCAGAGAGAGGACACCCCCCTGCTCGAACACGTCATTCTGCGCCGCTATTAAGAGCAAAGTCTGCCCACCATTATGGGAGGGCATAAAATATCAAGCCAGCGGTTCTGAGTGAGTTCTAGAAGTCCGCTGTAAGTTTGCTGGCCTGGAAACACTGCCTTAAAGGCCTTTCACACACGTGTCGGTGTTGTGTTGCTGTACTGAACTTCTCCAGGGTGATTATTTGTAAATGATCTTTTCAAAGCCATGTCATCCTTTTGTGGTGAGCTTTGACACCGCAAAGCAAAAGCGATTTAATTTACTGCATGATATCTGCTGTGTCTCTATTGTCCACAGAATAGGCCTATTATGATGCCTTTTAGGGAGCTATTCTTACACACAACCTTTATAATCACATTTTTGTATCATCATATACTGACCAAGTGTCGGAGATGTGTGCCTAACTTTGTCATTTTTCTTTCTCCGGTGGTGGAACTGTAACCAAACACTTTGTCTTTAGGGGGAATTAAAGGAACTCCACCCAGCCTGGTTCTCATAAGAGCAAAGAATCATCCAATTAAATGACTTACACATAAATTAAAAGCACTGACAATTTAGATGAATCAGAATCACATACAGTTGATAAAAAAATAAAATAAAAAGAATCATTTTCCGCCTAATTAAAGAAGTGGTTTCTTAATTAGAAGTTGTTTAGGTATTCACTGTCATTCCTAAGTGCCGGTGAATTACCTTTTCAGAATAGTTGTTTTTTTCAAAACTCCTCTAGCTTTGTGTTTCCTAACCCAGTTCACGTTTTTGCACCTTCCCAGACAGTCCACATTTTTGCTGGGAGGGAGCAAAAACATGGACTGTAGGTGGGTCTCTGAGGAGCTGAGAGGGAAACACTGCTCTAATTTCTCAGAAACAGAGATGTGGCACCCGCTATTTTCAATTCTTGTGGTTTGGCTTTGAAGCTTTAACCTGAAATAAGGAAACGTTTAATTTCCCATCATGGGGGCAAAGAACAGCCCCGCCTGCTTATCTGCGCTGTGCTGCACTGGCGAAATGGGTGGGGTGAAATTTCACTTTCACGGTATCTCTATATTGCAAAGGTCTCTTGTGCAAAGTTGAACTGGCTTCTCTAATGTCCTTCCCTAGATGATGTTTTGTCTTTGCTGCGTCGTGTTGTGAAACCGTCACTGTGCAAATCAGAACTGCTCCAAAGTGAGTCATGAAAGCCATCGGGCCTCCACTAGCCTGAATGATGCTCCTTATCATAAACGACTAAATCAGAGAGCTGAACCCTTAATTATAAATTTTGCAGAAAGAAATACAGAGATTTAGGAAATAGCTCAATAGCTAATCACTTGACCCTGCATGTTCCTTTTTAAAAATGTTCTCAAAAGTTCTTTGTGTTTAGCTGAGGCTTGGGCCCAAAGTCACTGCGCTGCTTGACTGGGGTCTGTATGGTGACACGTCTTCGCATTGCTGGCCGGTTGCAAAGGCAGAGGCGTTGCTTCCTCTCTCAGCTCCAGATTTCCTCGTGGGGTGTGTGGCTGAATTTCTCTTTAGGAGAGTTTGCTGTCTGTAGGTACATGTCTGTCTGTGTCTCCAGTGGAGAACAAGATGGGATTTGGGAAAGGCACCCAGTTTCCTCACCTGGGAAGCCGCTCTGTTTGCTAGGGAAAATGTTTTGTGTGTCATACGTAGGAAATTAAGGTTTGCTTGTAGGATTTGTGAGGAATGCATGGTTCATTCTCACTTCTCCTACATGACAGCAAATCCTCCATTGTGCCGAGTCCATGGACCCAGCAAAATGCTGCATGGCGGTATTGTCTACACCGTACAAAAGAGCAGTGACACAAACTGCACACTGCTTACGCCGATGACCCCTGACTTCTGTCCCTATTCAAGCGGTGCCATGGATCATGTGACACCAGCCTCATGGGGGTCTGCTGAGCAATGCACCTCGATCAGGGATCCTCCAGTCCTGCAATATGACCCAGGACCCCGTTTCCCGATCACAATGATATAGGGAACTGAGGTATGTACCTCTCCATGTTATTTAAAAACCTGCTTGTCTTTGCACAAGTCTGTTCTTTCTGGGTAAAGGGTCAGCACTGATCTATATGCTGCTGTGTTTCTGTTAATCACGGGCTGAGCTATAGTCATTAATGAATCTCTCCTAGCAGCCCTTCCTGTTGTCACAGAGGTCTGGGAGACGCCATCGTGGTGGAGCTGATGTGGGTGGCGTGGCCTCTCTTCTGAATGCCATAAGCCTGATAGCATGTTAATATCCCCAGTGTTAGTCACATGTAGGCTGTCACGTGATCCTGAATATCCCTTTGTTTTGCGGAATGCTCTTAAATTAAAATGTGAGGTGGCAGCAAGTCAAGAAGCAATCTGTGACGTGCAATTCTGCGTCACTATGAAAATAAGGGAACAGAGTGACATTATGTGCAATATCACGCTAGTTTTTTTGCTTATTGTTACGCACTGAAAGGCTACAAATGATATGACTGTATATTCCTATTTTCTTATGTTTTCCAAGAATCAGCCCAGTCTCCAATGTTGCAAATCATTCTTCTCACATATGCCAAAATCCCATTACTGTAATGTTGAGGCACATTCTCAACTATTGTTCAGCACAGATTTTTCCACTAAACCTTTAAATATATATATATATTCAGTACTTGCGACACAGGTTTGTATTTGTTTCAGACAGTGAGTCCGCAGAAGAACACATTGCACCAGTTAATCCAGTTGATTCCATGTGGATCTGTCTAAATAAGTGCCACTGAGAAGATTCAAGCTAAAAACATAGCATGCAAACCCATGCATCTCTGCATGTAATGAATCAGAACAATGCAGATCATCCCAGCCTGCACTCTGGAGAATGAAATATTTAATTCAAGTGCTGTTTTGTTTGTTTATTAATTAAAATGTGCACATTTGGTCATATATAAGCCTGACCTAATTTATAGTGCTCACACTACATTACACTGACTAAGCCATATCTGCAAGTCACATTTAGTACCAGTGTTTGCCAGTGTTGTTTCCTTGACTATGAAAACTACAAGTGTGCTTGTGATTCAGACCAGGACATGTTGTTCACTTTCACAGATATGTAGGTGGCTTTTTTTTCAAGGAACTCTGGTATGGAGAGACATTTTCATCTTAATGGAGATCTTACTTCTGAGACCCATGTAGTGGCATTGAACTGTTGCCAAAAGTTTGGTCTCCACAGGCCGCATTAGAGGTCTGGTTTATAACATCGTTCGCCTGTGACTGGGGTCCCATTGCAGCAGGGCAGAATGGGTTCCTTTCCACCAGGGAGGGGAGAACATGACTTAGCCAAGGTTCCTCAGCTGGCTCCTGCCTCAGTGCTTCCTAGGGACTTGTTAGGCGTGTGCATGTGGGGGGACTGCCACTGGCGGCCACACCTGTTTTCATGTGACCTACAAAACAAGCAAAAGCACGCTGAAAGCATAGCACAGGACTATGCTCTGGCTGGCTCCCTACCCCTGGATGAGAGCTGGGGGGGGGGGGGGGGCTACAGAAAGCAGAGTCCAGCCAAGAGCTGGAGAACAGCCAAGACTGATGAAATCCATAACAA